AGGGAGTGTGGCTCAGTCTGCAGTCAGCCGCCCATGCTGCATGGGCACACAGTGAATGCTAGCTGCAACAGGACCTGCTGAGATTTGAAGAAAATTCTTTGTTCATTCTGAACGGTTATTTTCCTTTAGATCCCTCTTCAGCGATTGTTTTGATGACTATCAATTGTAGTCCGTCCTGCTTCTGTTCTCTAAATATACATCCCAAGTATGTATATATACATCTTCAGTTATGATGGAGCTACAAAGGATCCATTAGAAGGGCTAATCATGTTGTATGTTCCCAGAGCACAGTCAAAGAATCCTTCCTGCTGCCTGATTTGTATTAAAAAATGCAGGAAAATAATCTTATTTCCTTCAAGTATTTGCATGTCAAAGGGTAGGATCTTCAGCAGATATCAAGCATTAAGCAGAAAGTATGGATAGCATGAGATAGTCACAACCCTTGACCTTGGGAGGTATGAACTGCAGCCAAAGGTGCAATGATAATTACATTTCCTAGATTCTTTTTTTTTTTTCTTTTTTGAGAAAGCATCTATTCCAGAGGTGGGAAACCTCAGGATGCAGGTCCTAGCTTGCCTGGATCTGGCCCCCGAGGCTCAGAGCCCCCCCTAGCATTGGGGAGCACGCACTGATTCTCCAGCCCTCTTGCTGCCCCATTGTGGGACTGGAGGAACACACATCTACTAGCCTTGGGCCCCATAGGCTCTGGTGTGGGAGGAGAATGTGGGAAGTGTGTTTCTCCTTCTCACTTGGGATCCATGTCAATGAGGGCTTTTTTTCTCACTTGTGTGGTGTGCAGCCCCCAACTGATTTTTCTGTTGGTCAGTGGCCCCCAACCTCCAAAATGTTCCCCACCCCGAACTATACTTTGAGGGTGTGTCTAGACTACAGGGTTTTGTCGACAAAAGTGGACTTTTGTCGACAAAACTATACCTGCGTCCACACTACTGCTGAGTTCTGTCGACATAACGTCGACAGAACTCAGCAGTTTTGTCGACACTGGTAAACCTCATTTTACGAGGCATAACGCCTTCTGTCGACAGAGTTCTGTCGACAGAAGGTGTTATTGCATGTAAACTGTCCTTTGCGTCTACACTGCCATGTCGACAAAGCAGCTTGCTTTGTCGACAGAACTGAATGTAGTGTAGATGCTCTTTGTCGACAGAAGTTTTGTAGTGTAGATGCTCTTTGTCTAGACGTACCCTGAGGGTTGAAAAAACCAATGGAACTGACATTTTAGAGTAGTTAATCTTAGAACACTAGAACTAGAAGTGACATTGAGAGGTCATCAAAGCCAGTACCCTGCCCTCATGGCAGGATGAAGCACCATCATCCCTGATAGATGTCTATCCAACCTGCTCTTAAATATTTCTAGTGATGGAGATTCCACAACCTCCCTAGGCAATTTATTCCAGTGTTTAACCATCTTGACAGTGAGGAAGTTTTTCCTAATGTCCAACCTAAACCTCTCTTGCTGCAAATTAAGCCCATTGCTTCTTGTCCTATCATCAGAGGCCTAGGAGAACAATTTTATTCCCTCCTCCTTGACACACCCTTTTAGATACTTGAAAACAGCTATCGTGTCCCCTCTCAATCTTCTCTTTTCTAAACTAAACAAACCCAATTCTTCCAGTCTTCTCCTATAGCTCATGCGAGAATGCTTTGTGTGCATTGAGCAATTCATTTAATGAGCTTCATATCCTTTCCAAATGACCAGTTGTCAAGCAGAATGTTCCCTCCAAGCACATGATGATAGTTTTGGCTAGAGTTTTTGCATCAAGTACCATATAATGGTATCTCCTCCTGCCTAGCCAAGAGATCTCGAGTCACCCAGGAAGCAGGGTTCAGACAGGTCCCTAGTTGAAAGGCCAAGTTACAATACTCTTCTCCAGGGATGAGCAATAATTTTCGATGGGGGGGCACTGCAAGAATTTGGTAATTTGGTAAGAAGGGAGCTAGGGATAAGGGATTGGTTGCAGGAGGGGGTCTGGGTGAAGGAGGGGATTGTGACCTGGGACTGGGGATGGAACTGCAGGAGGGAGTGCAGGGTCTAGGGGGTGTAAGTGTGCAGGAGAGGATTCTGACATGAAGGAGGGATGCAGGGCCTGGGATGGGGTTGTGAGCTGGGCCAGGAGTGCAGGAGGGGGTTCAAGGATTTGGGATGTGACCTAGGGAAGGAGATTTGGGTGCATGGTCTGGGAGAGGTTATGGATGGAGGGGGGACAGAGGGTTGGGAGAAGGGCAGGGCTGGAGTGCCAGAGGCAGGCTCTGGTTGGAAAACATTTACTTGGATGGCTTTCAGCCAGCAGCCCAGCAGGTTCCCTGCCTTCCATGGCTACTCAGAGCAGCCGGCTGCAAGGGCCATGTGTGCTCTTCTGAATGCTGTGAGCCTGCAGAGAGAAGGAAGAGGCACTTCATGAGCTGCCTGTCCTGCAAACAGACAGTTCCCATTGACCGGTTTCTGGCCAGTGGGAGCTGCCAGATTATTTTTGGGGCAGGGGTAGTGTGAAGTTTCTCTCCCCTCTGCCCCAGGCTTGCAGCATTCACAGCTGCTTCTCTGAATGCTATGTAGAGGCAAGGCAGGCAGGGTGTGTATTGTAGGCTACATCCAGTGGCTTGGTGGGCTGCATCCAGCCCATGGACCATATTTTGCCCAGTCCTGCTCTTTTCAGTGA